CGTGCCCTTCAGTCGGTGTCTTTTGGTCATTGGTCATCTCTGCAGCCCTATCACTGTGGAGAGTGATTCAGGGAAATTCCCTGGGGCTTTCACATTGATGGTGAGCGGGGCTGGGTGAAGGGCTGGTCAGCCTGGCCTTCCGAAAGCCAAAAAAACCTGCCTGCCTCACATTCAGGCACGCATGGTTTCAAGGTGTGAGTATCAGAGATGCTTTGTCTTTCTGCAGAGCGTGGTGTTGTCCGTGGTTATATCTGGACGACTTCTGGTGTGCCACGGCTCACCCTTACACCTCAGCCCCGTCCTCAAGGTGTGAGGCAGCAGTTCATCTGTGTCACATCCAGCCATGGCCTTGGCCACGCACCTTGGTTTCCTCTCTAGGGGAGGGAATGGCTCTTGTGAGCTCCCAGCTGTCAGCCAGAAGCAGATATAGATGATGGTGGGATCCACAGCTGGATGTGCAAACCCCAAAGTGTTCCATGGTCACGGTCGTCATTGCAGGCTCTGTTTTGCTCTCTGGAAAAGAGCAGTGGTCCGAGTCCAGGAGGGTCACCCCTTTGTCCTGACCTCATGGCAGAACCGTGGGTCGGTGTCTCCTGATGTTGTGTTTCCAACAAGAGCATTAAATCCTTGCAGAACAGTAATTCCCAGCTTTCCGGTAAGGATAACATTGATGGTACTTAATTAAAGGGCACTTTTAGCTGGGGTAAACATTTATATTAATTTCCTTCTCACACAGATGTCTGGTAAACTGACCTCCTGAGGCAAAACCATCTGGCCTCAGGTGGGAGGAGAATCTCAGCCGGCATGGCGAACCTGACTGGTCTCTTGCTGAATCATTTCTCAGTAGGTTTTTCTGTCACTGAAGTGGCATACGTATGAAAGGCCTGTGGTATGGATCTATAGGTTTTATGGGCATTTTTCTTAGATGACCTGCATAATTACACTGCGGGCTTGTGGCTGCAGGTTCCGTTGTATCTCTGCTTTCCATCGCGTATTCTGGGATCGTCCACATATAAAATTAGTATGGGTGGTAAGCAGCAGTAAGGTGTTCCCTATTTGGATAGATTAAATTAAAATTCAGTAAGAAACAGAGCTTTGGGTGAGTTTCCAAATTACTTCAGGATTGCACTGAGGAGATTGTTATGGTATCGTAAACCTTTTTGGTGGGTGAGCAGCCTGATGCAAGTTAGGTGGTTTTATTGCCTCGCGGTGCTTTTTCTGTTTTATATACTGTGCTGTGTAATCTTTTGTTATTAAATAATAAGCAAAATAAAAACAGTTGTTTGTCACAGCCAGCTTGTTTTTCAGGGAATTTGCTTACTTTGAAAGTTCAGTCTGTGTGATCTCCAGCCCTGTCAGGAGCTATTATTTTGAGTCATCTTTTAAATTGTGAAGTTGGAGGACAAACCTAGACGTTACCGTGCACATCTCGCTGAGAGCGGAGCGGATTCGGCAGGGAGCAGCCTCTGATGCCATGTACTGCGCCGTTAGTTTTTGTCACGAACATGTCAAGATTATCTGCTTCCAGTGGTACGCGTGTCGGCTGACACGAGCATTTGTACATAATTTTTGAAGTAGTTTGAAATGTGGATATAACACTTGGGGCTGTGTGAAATCTTTTTTTTTCTCCCCCTTTTACAGATCACATCATTGCTGTTCAGAACGTTGCTTGCTTTGTAACTGCCTCCCACAAGGAACTGTATTAATTTGCAAAGTTCATAACAAAAGTGCCCCCAACTAGAAATCATCGTAGCTGGTGAACAGCTATGGAAACAGTTGGGAAGACCAGGAGCCCCATTACTTTCCATTCGCAACATTACATTTCAAACAGAGGCCACTGTTGCTCTAGCATATATGGAATTGTATCTTCATGCAGGATATTATTCTCATTTATGGAACTTGGCAACCCTGAATTCAGTCTGGACTTTGATGGACAGGATTTTTCACGTGTAGTATATGCATGCATGTGTGTGCCTCGGTAGCCTTTTACAGATGAGGTTGAGTCACGCATATTAAAAATTGGGTAAGATGCTTCAGCTGCTTGTTTTTTCAAGCTTCTTTTTTGATCATTAATACTCAGACCTATCCCAGCCTCAGAAGCAGTCGTGCTCTTCCATGAAGACACTTTTTTCCACCCTCTGTGGTGCAGCCAGACAGCAGAAGGAGCCCGTATCTGTAGCCATGGCAGCCGGTAATTTATTGCTCCATATGGCTGGTGTGGCAGCAGCTGCTCTGGTTTAAGGAGGTCAGGACATTGGGGCATTTAAGAAACAAAAAAAAAAAACCCACTATAAAACCTTCCTAAGTGTTTTTTTGGGGGTAATAGTAGGGTTTTCCATAGACATAAGAAGGGCCAAGGGAGAGAAATTAACTTTTTATATATTTATAACTTTAGTAACTTTTTTCTTTTTATATAATTTTAATCAAAGACATTATTTCATGGGGGAAATAAATTTTTGTCTCTCTTCGTGGTGGTTTTACCTTTTTTTCCGTTTTCATCACTAGTGTTTGTAGGTAGCACATAGTACCGAGGCGCAGCGAGCTGGGCTGTTCTGCAGGTACCCAACAGCCAGAGCAGGAGCAGAATCCGACCCGTTGCTTCTGGATGCATCAGATACTGCGCTGAGAGAGAGACTGTATTGCCCAAATTGAATGGCAGGGCTGTATTTCTAGTGATGAAGTGAAGATGCAGACTTTGTGAGCAATTATCATGGAACAGAAATACAGCTTTAATTTCAGCTTGGGTGTGAGAATCACTTGCTGCTGAAAAAATGGTATAGAAGGGCTCTTGGATTTAGCACTAAAGCTTGCAAATAGGCTTTTCATAAGCGTGAATCTTTTTATTTTCATTAGGGGACCATTTTAATTAAAATGAAACTGGAATGTTTACTCTTTGCTTCCTATAGCTGTGATTGTTTTCTTCACTGTGTGAGCACATGTATAATTTGCTCTAAAAGAAATGTCAGCAGTTTCTGATTACCTTGTGAGTCTTACTCAACAGCTTGATTTTAATTGGGGGGAGGAAAGATTTCAGGGTGCTCCAGGGAGGTCTGATGTCTTTTAGTAGCAGGAGGAAATAGGTGCTATCTTTGGTACAATGTTAATTGCAATAATCACTACTACTGGTTTAAAATAAAGGTCCTTCATTTCTTACCCTTGTTGGTTTTTTTCAGTCATGTCAATGAAATACAGCCTGTTTGGTAATTAGCATCCTTCAGCTCATAACCTTTTGACATTGCTGCCTTCATGTGTTTGTAAGCATCTAAACAGGGTGACTTTTGGAAAACTGATTGACAGTAGGTAGGTAGTCTCAAAATTTAGGAAATGAGGAAGACATTTTTTATGATGAGGGTCGTGAAACACTGGAACAGGTTACCCAGAGAGGTGGTAGATGCCCCATCCCTGGAAACATTCAAGGTCATGTTAGATGAGGCTTTGAGCAACCTGATCTGGCTGAAGATGTCCTTGCTCACTGCAGGGGAGTTGGACTAGATGACCTCTAAAGGTCCCTTCCAACCGAAAACATTCTATGATTCTGTGAAAACTCTGCAATTCTGGTTAGATGAAGGAAAGAGAAGGCCAGGCACATGGGGAAGAGTACATCCATGCCTTCCGATACATTCTCTCTAAGCCCGGAAGTCCACCAGGATTTGTAAGTTAATACATAGTTTATGTGGATCAAGAGTATCTCTTTCTTTAAGTTTTTCATAATTATGAAATATGACAAGAAGTATGAAATATGACAAACAGAATAATGTATTCTGGATCCTTCAGTGGTACAGCTCCTGATGCATTCCCATGGCTTATTTTTGTTTAGATCTACTGTAAGGAGGTACCTTGGACTACTTTGGTTGCTAAAATGCCTTTCAGGTCTTGCAAAGCCTTTCAGAGATGACCAGCTTCTGAACCTTTTTGGACATCAGCCAATATCTTGGATTTTAATATTGTCTTCTCCATTGGAGATTATGATCTGAGTCTCCCCCTGCTCATTCTCTGGGGTTTTGTTTCCTCCTGCTGATTATTTGAAATAAATAAATAAGTAGGAAAACAACCAGTATCTATGTGTTAACAGGGAGGAATGACTAATAGAAAAATGAGAAGAAAGATACTACTTATCATAAAAGACTGTATCTCTGGAGACATAAATTGGTATTCATTAAGTTGTTTGCCTAGACTTAGTTAAAAGACGTACTTGAGGAGCTGTCTGAGCAGTGTTTCAGTAGAAAGCAAGTCATCCTCTTCGTGACTAGATACATCTAGATGAGGAGGAGAGACCAGAAAGCAGCACTAAATGATGGATTGAGAACAGCCTTCTTGGCAGTGAGGAGACAACAGGCTATGAAATGTTTTTCAGAAAGAACAACATTTAACGCTTAGCTGTAGAGTAATACTGATCCACCTTTTCTCCCCAAATAAGCCCGTCTTCTTTGTATCTGATACAGAATTTTTAAAAACATTTCTGTTCAATTTCTGTCGTTTTTCATTCAAGGTATGCAGGGTCCCCTTATTTTTGATGATGATTTCTGTAGCTGGAGGTTAGAATTTCGCCTGTGATGATTATGATATCCCGTGTGTATAATCTTACTGGTCCCCTCAGTATGTCATCAAATACAGGGAAGTAGTTGCAGAGCAGTGCTTTGTGCCATGTCTGCATTCTTCCAAAAATCAGTTGAGTCTTTTGACTTTTGTAATATGTGACAAACCCACCCATTTCAAAGACCTTTGGGCTGAAGATTGAGATGAGATTTTGCTACTGTGCTTGTTGACAGACATCTTGCCTTATTATCCTGAACTGGGGCAGACACTTAGAAGGGAATGTGTGTATTAATTCTTGTGGAGTCTGTGGCTCTCTGCTCTTTATCTTATATCTTTAAAAAAGTAATTGCACAATATAACACTTTAAAAGTGCTTTTACTGTTTGGAGAGTGAATACTCTGTGTCACTCTTGTGCGTGGTGTAACTTTGCTGACATTCACCATTTCTTCTTTTGTTTTTTGCAGATTAAGACCCTTGATTTCAACACAGCCTGCTAAAAAGGCTGCCACCGAAGAGGTATGTAAAGTCCAGCACTTCTCCTGGTGCAACAGTTTGAGTTTGGACATTCCCACAAGCCTTTCTCAGCCTGGCTCTGGTTATGCGGCAAAAGAAATGAGAGTCTTGTCTCTCTGATCAGACCAGGAGCTGGCTGCTGCAAATACTGCAAAGCTGAGATTGTCTCTTTTCTAACCAAGATTTGCCCTTACTTATCCATCAATAACGTTAGCACAGCCTCATAATGCCTGGTTAGGCAGCAAAAAAGAGAAAACTCCCTGCAAGCATCTAAAAAGTGACCTATCAAGCAAGTGGGCAGGAGGAAAGGGCAGAGCTCGTGCCTGTTTCTCAGCGCTTGGACCGTCCCCACAGAGAAGGGGGACGATGCAAAACGCCGCCCGCCTGCAGCCAGCGCTGACCCAAGGGAAGGGCTGGGCTTCTGCGGGAGATGGGTGAGGAAACACAAAGTGGCAGCTTACCCTATATAGCATGGCTTACTCTTTGGTTGGTTTCCTTGTTTAGTTTGAAAATATAATAGCGCTGTAGGAAAGTTAGTGCTAGTGATTGGCCACCGCCAGAAACCCCCCCTACGGTGGCTTTGTGCACCTGTATTTTCTGCCGAATGGATCATAATTGTTATCAGTCACAGGGGTAACTGTTTGCTTTCACTATTACTTTCCCACTGTACAGAGTCGAAATACGCATTTTGTGTATGATAAAATAACCGTCTACTGAGTATCTAAAAATTCCTTTCCTAACATACCCTTGATGCCAAGAAGGCCAATGGTATCCTGGGGTGTATTAAGAGGAGCATGGCCAGCAGGTCAAGGGAGGTTCTCCTCCCCCTCTACTCTGCCCTAGTGAGACCCCCCCTGGAGTACTGTGCGCATTCCTGGGCTCCCCAGTTCAAGAAAGATGAGGAACTCCTAGAGAGAGTTCAGAGGAGAGCAACAAGGATGGTAAAGGGACTGGAGCATCTCCCCTATGAGGAAAAGCTGAGAGAGTTGGGCTTGTTCAGCCTGAAGAAGAGAAGACTGAGAGGGGACCTCACCAACACATACAAATATCTCAAGGGTGGATGTCACGAGGACGGAGCCAGACTCTTTGCAGTGGCGCCCAGCACCAGGACAAGGGGCAATGGGCACAAACTGAAACATAAGAGGTTTCAGTTGAACGTGAGGAAGAAATTCTTTACTTTGAGGGTGACAGGGCACTGGAACAGGCTGCCCAGGGGGGTTGTGGAGTCTCCTTCTCTGGAGATATTCAAAGCCCGCCTGGACAATGTCCTGTGCAACATGCTCTAGGAGAACCTGCTTTAGCAGGAGGGTTGGACTGGATGATCTCCTGAGGTGCCTTCCAACCCTTGCCATTCTGTGATTCTGTGATTTGTCCTTCTTTTTCCGATGAACGTGTGACACTGGCAGCCTTTTGAAAGTGAACCAGTTGACTTGGGTCGTTTAACTTGCTTTGACAATTGCCCATCCATACATAAAGCTATATGCCAAACTGAACTCCAGGATGTCTGGAAGTGAATTCAGGAAGTTCTATTTAAAGGCGTTGTTTGACTGCCTTATTTTTAAAATGACTAAACCCCATTGATTTTCAGAAACAGTTTGATATCCTGCCTGGGGAAATACATTTTCACTTCTTATGCTATGCTCATTAGAAAACTCTGCACATTTTTAGAAGTATAGCAGTCTGGAAGTGGACATGATAATTAGAAGAAGGTCACATTTTAATTAGCATGGTGCAATTTTAAAAAATAATGACTCAATTGTAGCTCCTTTATATTCCCCCACTTTTTCAGAGCAGATGGATACTTTTAAGCATATAAATTGATATATATTATGATGCTGATTCATCTCAAACTGTTGTGTCTATTTCTGCTTATACTGAAAACCTAGGTGGACTCAATTTGATCACTCTAGAGGCAAAAGCAGTGGTAGGAAATATAAAATAAACTGGAGGGAAGTTCCTCTAAACAATATGATTAATTTGAGCATTAAAAAATCATTAAAACCTGTCTTTGGGTGATCCAAATATCTAAATACTTGATTTTCTATTAAAATTAATGGCTGTGTTTTGCCCTATTAATGAGCTATTGGAGTAAACCCTTAGGTGACTTTGAAAACTCAGGCAGATTTTTTTAGGTTGACTGTCATGGTATATGACAAGTTCAGGAACAGCTTTGATGTTTGAATAATTAGACTATCAACTTTCTGGTACGGGGATTTTCTCTTATGGCGTATCTCTAAAGTGCCTGGAGTTACAGGGATTCTGGGAGTTAGTGCATCCCAAATAAATACATTTACAAATAAATACATAAAAATAAGTTACAGTGCCGAATCAGAACTTACTGCCAATGGAACTGGAGAAGATGCAGCAGTACATGGTTGCATACTGTAATTTAAAACCTAAAGCACTGTAGGACTTTTCTTGTGGTGGGGACCAGAGGAGTTGGGGTTTCCTGGTCTCCTTTGGACCTTTAATGGTCAGGAGCACCTCACCACTGTCCTTCCCAAGTAAGCGGTCCCAGTCTTTTCTGTCTTTCCTAGTAGGGGAGATGACTCTCAGTGCTGATAGCTGCTGACCAGTGACAGGTACTGTTAAGTGCAGTGTTAATGGTTAACCTTTAATGTTCTTCAAGTTGCCACAACTGGGATGTCTTTTTGGGCCACGGGCTCTAGTGTACAAACCCCAAATAGTCCAAGTACAGAATGGAGGTAAAAAGTGCCCTTCCAAAGCTGGTGTAGATAAAGCTCCTGTGATGTTTCTTCCCTGTATGAGAGAGGGAGGTGGAGCCCTAGACTGAGCACACCACTGACGTGAGAGCTCCAGAGAGACCAGACCTGGGCTGTGCTGGGGCAGACCATGTTGCTGGTTCCTGCCCCATTCCCAGATCTGTCATTAGTGAACCAAAGACAATGTTACCTTCTCCAAATTCACTGCTGTCTCCTTGCAGTGTTACCCTTTCTCTCCCTCCCTGCTGTGTCCTGCCTAACCTTGGAGCAGCTGGGGAGGTGGACGTACAGAACAGGTCCCGTCGGTGATATTCCCAAGTTAGTGTTTGGAGATCATCATTCTGATGAATTTCCTAGGTAATGTTACAGGTGCTGGTGTGTATTATCAACCTCATGCTCTGCCATCACATTAAGTACTGTCTAAAGAGTGCTATTTGTTCCACAGCTCATTGTGCCTCCAAATAAATCCAACCAGAGCTGTCAAAACTAATACATGTTGAGGTTTCTTTCTGATTTGAAGGGTACATTTTTGCTATCATTAAAGTGCCAATAATGTTGTTATTGTGTAATAGGCCTGATGTGAGTCAAGCACAATGAGAAAAAGGCTGTAAGTTTTCCCGCAGAGCTCTCCTGAGGAGCCTTCACTCCTAAATTTCTCCTTACCTTGTGCTTGCAAGAGGATCCTTGTTCTGCTGTTACCGTCTGGGTATTTCAGTTACCTGGCTATGAATTATGTGAAAAATGAATGTTTGTGCCTGATTTTCACTCGGGCAGTGTTTCTCTGAGCAACTTGCATGTCCCTTAGAACAGCTAAGCCTCTAGCACTGGACATGGGCTTCCAGCTCTCCTGTCCCTATCATTTGGAAGCTGCTAAAGTTTTGGACAAACATTGAACAAAAGGAAGGGCTGCTCTACTGTCCCCTCTTCTTTTTTGCAGGTGGCCTTTCTGAATGCACAAGCAGAAACCTCTGACATAGAAAAACCAGCAGCTGTGCTAGTGGAGAGCGGCCCAGTAGCTTATAACCCTGACGAAGAGGTGGAGGAGGAAGAAATAGAAGAGGATGATGATCACTGCATGAGTGCCTTGCAGTTAATGGGAGGAAACGGTAAGCTGGGATGCTGTCTCAATTACTGTCTACTGGTGCTGTGGGGTTCATTGCTGCAGGGCTGAGGACAGACTCCCTTCCTTGTCCCTGCCCTCCGGCAGCTCGTCCCGTGCAGAGCTGCTGCCTTCCAGGCATTGCCTCTTCCACCTGTGGGAAAGCCAGGAGTCATCCTTGCCCGAAACCTGACCTCCTTAGAGGCTCCTCCTGAGAAAACTTTGCATCTCAAGCTTTAGGCCACGAGGGCTTCTCAGGAACAAACCGATGTTACGCCTTCCTCAGAATTACGTTTATTAATGTGGATCTGAGGAATTACAGGGTCAGTAACCCCTCTGTTAGCAGTGCTCGGGGCTCCGTGCCTCCTGAGCTGAGCCGCCCCGCTCCTGCCTGCCTCCTCAGCTGGGGCTGCAGCGATGTCCAGATTGCCTGGGAGCCCTGTGGACATGGCTGTCCGGCTTGGAACAAAACGAATCGTCACTCTCCATTTCTGGAGAAAGCGTTAGGAGGAAAGAGTTCTTCACCAAGTACAGAAATTGCATTGATAGCATACGGCGTGCTGTATGGTACGCAGATGTGTGCTAATTTATTTGGGTTACCCAGCAAAGCCACTCATTTAATTAGGTTTCTTTGCTGGCAGGAAAAGGCAGTATCCTTTCTGCTGCGGTTTTTCCTAACTGGACACATCCACATTTATCCTTTATTAAAAACTTCCCCTTAGAAGTTAAGCTTTGAAAACATACAAAAATATTTTTAAAATGAGAGCTGCTAATTATGGGTTGTGAAAAAGCAAGATGGGAATAAGTTTCCTACTGAAATGTTATTTACTGCAAAAATCTTCCCAGTACTATTAATTTAGCTTTCACGGACAATATGTATACATTTCACAAAAGTGTGTGTTGCTTTTAAATTGATTTCTCCACTGGAAAATAATTGCTGAACTGTAGGAAAAACAGTTTGTTGCCTGCATTTATTATTAGAATAATGTTCCCAAGAAAAGGCACCCATGTGGGGGAGGGTGGGTCTTATGTTTATTAATAAACCCCCCACAAAAATAGAATAAAGGTCACTGAGCTTTTTTTTCTTTGTGAATGTTACTATTTTTAAACCATTCTGAGAACATTCCGCTTCTCCCTGTCTGGTCTGGACAACAGCTGAAAAATCACAGTTTAAAAAAAAAAAAAAAAAAAGGAAAGGAGTATTCCCAGCATTCAAATGCAGGTGTGCAGAGCTGCTCAGCAGAACAAATAACTCCTTCCTAACTGCTTTCTTCATGGGTTTTAGACCTGTCTGCCTGGAATAACTGCAGGAATTACAGATGGTGAACTTCACCTATTCTACACAAATTATTATAGATTACACTTAATTCTGCTTCCGAGCATTTGCTTGGCTCTCTGGATGAAACGAATGAAATGAATTTGGAAGATAAAGGTTAACTTTACTGAATGCTCATATGTAACAGTTACCCTTAGGTTCAACTTCGCAGCAGCAAATACCAGTTTCGCTGCATTCAGAAGCGCACAGACTAGACATCGGTGCGCTAGAAACGCGCGGGCGTGCCTTCTGACACACACATCGCGCAGTCTTCGCACTCCGCATTGCTTGAGAAAACAAAACTGGATAAAAAAATCTGGGCGAAATTTTAAGTTGTTCCTCTAAGAGTAAGTAGCTACAGGAGATCTGAGTCAGATGTGTCGGTCAGGATTCGTTGCACGACTCTGATTTGATGGGAACTCTGAGCTAGCTCTGAACCCTTGCAGTTTCAGCTTATAAATCCATGAATAATACAAACAAGGCAGCTTTTTTGGTGGCTATGTCTAGTGAGAGCCCTGCCTACTTGTAAATGTATGCTGCTGCTTATCAGCCACCATGTTCCAAATTACTTGTGACAATCAGGCTTGATCACCTTAGCCTCTAAATTAAACCAAGTATTTCACATATCCATGTGCCAAGCATTCCTAAATGAGGGTCCAGTGACAAGGGAGAAGAGATATTTACACACACATGCTTACAAATAATTTTATTTCCTTGAGGAAAGTACGTGCAAGAACTTTATTTAGCCCTAAAGAAATATATGGGTTTTTTTAAAATGCTTGCTTAAGGCAAAACTTACCATCTAGTTACACAGCAGGAAAACAGCCTGAAAGTAGCAACACTTTTGTTGTATCTTCCATCTTTCTGGAATATTTGCATTTTTATATGCCTCTGTCTTTGTGTGTTTCAGATTATGGCTGTGATATGGATGATGACGATGGCTATTAGTTCCATTTACTTCCAAAGGACATGGACTGTGTCTTGTTCCAGGCAAATCTTCAAGTCTTCAAACTGTATGAATAGTGAAAGAAGCTGTCTATGGTCAGCAAACGTAATCGAACAATCCTTACTTTTGTAAAGCAATTTTAGGTTGCCATTGAGTCCGGTCAGTTTATATTGACCCATAACCCAGCAATAAAGTTTGGGTTTGTACTTGAATTTTTTTTTAATTTTGGTGGATCATAGTTTGAGGATGAAATTAATGGGAGTAATGTTTCCAGAGAACAAAAGAGAAGAGACAACATAAGACACAGCAACACATCTCTTATTTATGCGACTCTGCTTTTAGGCATGCTGTTGAAAAGGAGCAGATAGACGGACAGGTAGAAATGAGAAGCATGCCTGTTGGTTGGTTGAGTACGGTAGCATTAGTTGTCTCATAATGCTGCAACCAAAAGAAAGAAAACATTTCCAACTCGTGTGCTAAACGTGACCCTGTTGTTGATGCAAGCTTCCTTACCCAAGCCTATCAAAAATTAATGACAAGTTATGTATTTGCAGGGCAGTATCTCTTTCTCTAAAATGAAGTAAATAGTTCTTTATATAAATCAATTCATAGATCTCTTAAAAGATAACGACAGTAGAAAGCAATGTTAGCAGTGAAGAATCGTCTTCCGCTGTGAGTCTGGTGTGGTTTACGTGGAAGGCGGGAGAAGACCTGGGTAAGGCAAGAAGTGTAAAGAGCAAGCAGGCAATGATGCCATGCTCATGACAGCCAGGTCCTGCTGCGGCTGGCATTGCTGCAGGAAGGGTCGTGCTGGTCATCTGTACGGAGCTGCTCTCCTCCGGCTGAGTTAGGCTGAAGGTTTGCTCCTGAGAGCTGCCCATCTCTAAAACCAGTTGAAAGAAAGAGAAAGCTGAGCTTTTTTAATAAATAAGCTAGCATCTGCTTTGGCTGAATTTAATTTAATGTAATTTATTTAACTTTCTGTGGGTAAATTGAAGGTCACCATGCAGCAGTCTGACTTTCATGGCTCAAATCCCACCCTTGAACAGTCGCTGCTACACGAATAATAGTGGAGCTCCAGCCTTGTGTGCCCCAAAATGTCAACAGGCAGGTCCTTCTCATCCAGATACATCAGCTCTTGTGATGCTGTGGGAGCGAGGGTCAGGAAGGGAGCCCCTGTTGCCAGATCCCACCCTGTTGCCTCTGGGCTGCCTTTCCCTGGCACTGCTGTGGCCAAGGCTCTCGGCTCCGTGGGAAATGCACTGCACTCCAGATCATGGTCTTGACAACTGCAGCTGCAGGAGCCAAGATATTTTCATTTCTCTCCCATGTCTAGTGACAATCATGAAAGCTGCAGATCTTCAGGCTTGTCTTACACCAGGGAAGGATGGTTATTTAGCTTACCAACATGGTCTCTGTTAAGCCGTCTCTCCCAGTCAGCTCATCCTTCCTACTCTTTTTGAGGAGCATGCATTACTAAGGCACCATCCATCCTCCCTCTGTGGAGGGTGGAATGTGGCAAGGGGAGAAGCTGCCTTGGGAAGCTCTCTAGCTACTGCCAGCCAGAGTACCGATGATACTTATACCTGTGGTCGTCACCAAAGAGGGGAAGGGCCACGGGACCTCCCAAACCTCTTCAGTCCCTCTCAGTAGCATGCATAAGAGGGATCATGTAACTAGAGCAAGAGCAAGTGATTTTTTTAGGAGCAGACTTGGTATTATTTGGCTGGTAAATGTAGTTTGTTGGGTAGGTTGTGGCTGCTAGTTATTTCTGAGCCCGGTACAGGAGTGTTTCTGCAATGACTTCGTAAAAGCAGAACTTGGTAACAGAAATGATGTAGTGAGGCTAATGGGAAGAAGAGCTCTTCTGAACCAGATTTCAGTTACTCAGTTTGCAGCACTTCAGTGGAAAGCAGAGATTCCATATAATTCTTAGGGGGAAAGCTGGCGTTTTCACCAAAAGACTATAGATTTTTTTCTGATACTTTATAAATACTGCACAGAAAATGAGATTGAGGAGATAAACCTTTCTACCTCTCTTTTATCTACACCATAAATTCAAAATCATGCTATAAGCAGACAATTTTTTTAAAAAGTAGTTTGTTTTATCAAAATTCCTGCTCAGCAAGTCTTTGAGACAGTTGAGTTTGAGCATTTGGGTTTGAATTAATCTGCCCAATAGTGCTATTACAAATACCCGTGCTCTCAGTATATTTTCAGAGCTTGGGTTTTATTCCAAGGTACACATTATTCGCTACGCAGGAAATAAACATGCATAAATAAACATGCATATGACTCACGTAGGTCGAGTGCTTTTCTCAGATGCATGACGTTGGCTCTTAAAGAAACCGCTAAGATGAATTCTTTATTGCTAAGGGTCTTTCCTCCAGTCTTCTGGTTTGTTCTCCCACAGGATACTAAACCTGCTGCCAATGTAGCAATGGGGTGTGCGGGAGCTGAGAGTCCACCCAAATAACTGCTGCTGGTAAATTTGCATTTCAGTATCGCATTACATTTCTGAGAACATTGTTTCCTGCACTGGAAGTAGGGGATTGCAGTTTTTGAAGGCTCTCATAGGATTTCATTAGGAAAGGCTGTTGCATAGTCTGCTGGAAGGGCACTTGGACAGCAAAAAAAAAAAAAAAAAAAAACAAACCAAAAAAACAAAACCGAAACAAAGACCTACAATTCCATAGCATCTCAATATTGCTGGTGAAGTTAATGGCATGGTTTCTGCGCAGGAGTCCTAAAGGAAAGGCTGTGGTATCGGATAGGCAGATTTCACTCTGAGCATTGTAAGGCTTTTTAAGCTATAGAGGTTATGTACATTTTTAATTTATTGGTGACTTACCGGGATTTTTATAATGTTCATTCCTTCTTGATTTAACTAAGCTCAGGAAATGTAAACAGATTAGAACATGCTAGTTTCTGTTTTTACAGCTAGTCATTAAAATGTAAAAAGATTAACACTGCATTAACTCTGTTTACTACTGTTGATGTATCTGGACAATTTCGTTGTATATAAGTGAGCCTAAATTCACTTGGAGTAATTTGGACCCTGCTTTTCTCAGGTTTCTGATTATAATGAAGAGAGCTTATAAGGCTTCAATATTTGTTGTTCTTAGATCTTCTTACTTGAACCCACATGAGCGGTGTGTCGTGGGTTTTGTTGCACAGAGCATGTCTCTTGCTGCAAGTCGCATCGCTTGACAGTCAAAACCCTCCAGCTGCTGCATCCAGCTTGTCTGCCATGCAGCCTTTTAACACTCTAGCTCTGTGGGAGTGAGAAATGAAAGGAATAAGGACAATAATAGGGTTCTTCACTATGGTGAGTGCGTTTTCAGTGTCTTAATCATCTATGACATTTCTTTAAAATCACTGTGTTCAGTACAGCAACTTCTAAATGGTGCCAGACAGCCTTGTCTTGAGGGTTAAACATGTTCGTCGAAAAAGTTCTTGCCATCCTGATGGCTTGCTTGTATTCTTTGGATTGCGTTGAAACTCCAGTTGCAGATGTGTACAGTTAATGTAGAGTTTGCCTAATAAATGTTCTGTTTCTTATTTTTGTGTTGAATCCTTGTATTTGGTTCAGTTAGTGCCAAGGCAATTAAACCTGTTTGATGTAAGCGTATGTATCATCCTTATACAACCACAATATGAGCCATGTTAAGCTTTTTTACTGTAATATATTTGCTGTAAATAAAAAGTAAAACCCTTGCATAACCCATCTTTTATGATGCTCTCCTGCTAATTTCTGATTTTTCTGTCTTCATTCTTATGAACGTTCATTTTTGATTGCTACATGATTGGTTGATTGTGGCCAAAATTTGTAATTCAGAGCTTTCTTTCATCTCTAAAAGGGAAGACACATCTAATCAGGCAAGTGTTTTTTACCAGATATTGTTCCACTGATAAATGTAGCTACTTTCTGTAAACTGCATAACATTACGAAGCTTTTCCCACTAAGCTATGTAATTAACTGACTGTGGGAACAGCATATAGCATGTGTGTTTAGTGGAACCGTTCCAGTGCTTGTTTCTGAAAGTTGTATCTTGATAAATAAGGTGTGTTGTGAGTTAAAAATCTTGTTATTTTATAAACATCTGGTCGCCATGGTTTGGAGGCCAAAATCCACATCTACCCTTTGTGCACGTGGGTGTTTGCTCCTTTTATTTTTTTCTGGAAGGGGAGCTACTACCGGATCCTCAGGAGTGCCTGCTGCAAAGTTTTAGCATACAGTAGGATGACTAGCAGTAGTTTTGGTAAGACAGTAGGTATGGGTCATCCCAGCATTTCACTGGGTTCCCATACTCTCATCTAGGTGCACTTTTGCTCTCATTGACATGGGGATGCTTTTATCTTGGTTTCTTTTCAGGTGTTCCAACCCTTTCCACTGGCAGTTGGAACTTCTCCAGTGATGTCCATCACTGATGCTTTCTCACTCATAACATCTAAGCTGTTTAAAAGGTACTGGCCACCTTGGCCTCGTATTTTCTGCTCTTCCCTAGCTGTACAGTTACTGGCTTTGTCCTGTAATTTTTCTCTTCCCTGCCACACCAGGCTTTCATAACCAAAACCATTTTGTCCCCCCAGCTGTGGTCATCAAGTACTCCTCCTTTAAGGGTCTGAGAAGTTCAATAATATTAATAAAGCTGAAATCTTGCAAAGCTTTATATTATCTTCATTCGTTGCCTGTAGATCATAGCACACTCATTCTTAGGTTCACGTTTTGTAACGCAGAAGAGGCTGTTGTAATTTTCTCCTCCCGCCATGTGTGTAAGAAGACTTACGGCGTGTTATTCGGTATTTATCATGCCTGCCCCGATACCTGGCAGTGGTCTTGATGAGTGGTGGTTGTTTAGCGAAAGGGGTTAAGCACATGAGAAAGGAGGCTGGGTGAAAATTCATGTCTTACAGCATAATCAACTTACTTGGCGAGTTCCTTCATCGTAATTGTTTTTTCTCTTATGGGACTGTTGTGCATTTTCATGGAAATGAGGGAGGTGCATGCATTTCATAAAAATGCAAAATGGCATTCCCATCTTGCCACAAGATTCTTGGAGCATGGGATTTAATGACTTTTAGTGTAAATCTTACATTTGTTATTGTATGGGTTGGCAGTAAGTGGCACTGTACCGGACACCGGGATGGCGGTCATTGCATTATGTGTTTCTATTGCAAAATTACAAGAAGAATACTTCCTTGCTGCTCTTAGTGCTCTTAGTAAAGTTTCTCAATTATTCAAAAGCAGAAAAATACAGCAGATTAAAGGAATTTGAAGAAACCAATGAAAAGAAACAGCACCAACGTGTGTTTACCAGGTAATTTTTCTTCAGTGCTCTTCTGCAGGAAAGGTAAAAGGTATTTATACGCAGAGACTAAGAGGGGCAGAAGCTGAATGTTGGCAGGAGCAGGGGTGAGGCAGTGTTGTCCGCTTTCCCCACAAGAATTCCTGACTCCTCCTGTTTCATGGTATATCCAGCCCCACCTTCCTCATTTGTACGGAGTGGGCAGTCCACTGGGGGATATTAAAAGCAATGGGACACGTAGCCAGGTAGGAAGAGAAGATGGCGAGGTGTCTTTGTTTCACTTGAGCAAAACTTGAGCAAAACCAAAGGAGATGATTAATTATTTCGGGTGGTTTTAAGGGCTGTAGGTTGGTGTTAAGGACAAAGCTGCATTTAAAAAACACCAGAAAGGTGAGGAAATACTTCATTGCAATGAGGTGCCCAGAGGCAGTGAGCATAGGAACAGACCAGGGACAGTATTCACATCTCTGGAAACCCAACTGGTCTCAGAGCTGCATTAAAAATTGCAGTCTGTGGCCATGCCACTGTTGGTGACGTACATCTGCTTGTGCCGGGGGTGATTTCTAACCGCCCTGAGTTGTCAGCTGCCCCTCTGCCCATCAATGGACAGCAGCATTCCCCTCCCATGGGCTGGCAGACAGGTTTCTGGCTTGGTGCAGATGTTTCCTGCTCCCCACCCATGGCTGCAGACTCCCGAAGAAGAGTCGGTGAGATTTTGGGGGAAAAAAGGTCAATGTGCTAATTTCTCAACTCTGCTTTTTTCATAAACATGACAAAAACTGGGCTGAACTGCTGCCTGCGCAGGCCAAGCTGGCCTTTGTGCCACCTTGCTGTGGAGCAGCAGCACGTGCTGGAGGGCAGCACTGGTGGCTGTGCAGCCGTGCATCCTTGAGCCGCTCGGCTGGCGGCGTAGCTGGCAAGTGTTCTCTGATTCCTGTCCTTCTTTTGGATGAGGGTCTCCTAAGTCTGCCGTTCTTGCAGAGGTGCTAATCCTGGTCCTCGTTAAATACCCTTGGGCACATACAGATTTCAGAGCAAAAATTTTTGAGTACAACCCATGTGAAGAGTGTGATCTGTGCCCTAAGCAGATGTCTGTTGGCAGACAACTACTGTGAAGGTGACGTGAAAATATCCATGCTAGATATCCACAGTTGCTGTGAATTGGTACAGTTCCTGCAACTTCGCATCAGGCACCAAGAGCCTTGCTGGTTTACATCAGCTGAGGATCTGTGCCGTTAGCAGCGGTCTCTAGAGGTGGTAGCAGTAGTGAAGGAAGGGAGAAAAGTGCTCTGGGGTGAAACCAATTTGTGATATTGCAGTGTGTCACCCAAAGCCACTTCTTACTCTAAGAAAGCACAACCTACTGCCTTGCCTACTTAACCAGCAAAGCAGAGTTACCTATTCTGCTGATTTTAAAATAAATGAGAAAAGGGCACTTCAGCCGTGCTACAGTGTGCGGCACGTAGTACATCCCTCTTGAGCTCTGCATGGGGGTGGCTGCGGCTGTCAAAACTCTCTAGGTGGTCATAGCCTACTCTGACGTGGATCTGTTGTAACTGAATAATGGTTCTTCAGAGCAGCATCGTGTCTGGGAAACAGCATAAATCCTTGTATCTTCTTTGATTCCTGCCCATACTCTGAGAGCTCACCAAAGGAGAGTCCACACACACGTACCAGCACAATTCAAGTAAGATCCATGGGTTGACACAGGGTAAAATGTAGCTAAAGCAAATGGTTTCAAAACTCTAGTCACTGTTTTCAAGCGAACTCTTACACAAGGCCCCTGTGAAATTGTTTGATAGTGCTGAGTGCTGCATTAAATCAGTAGGACCTATGGTAAGCTCTGAGGTCTCCAACAGCAAACCAGTGCGATGTGAATCATCGTCTTTTCTTTCTGGACCACTGGGTGCCATGAGGAAGAGTCAGAGTGGATTTTGTTGCCTGTGGTAAGATGAAGGATCTTTCATCTTGTTGATCTTCCCTGTATATATTGGTTCGGAGGAGCTGGCTGCACTACATTAATAACATGCCATCTAAACCACTTTTGGCCAGTGTTCTTGGCACACATGCAAGTGTAGACTTTCTGATCTCCCCTGGCCACTTGGTAAGCAAAAGATCTCTATCAACAGGGGTAGTGCCAACCCTTGTAAAGCTGCCCAGCATAGACCCCAAGTATTGTCACTGCTTGTGGGTCTAATAGCAGTGTGAAAGGGGCTACATCTCAGGTGAGAGATGCTGGTACGTCAGTTAGGAGCTTATATTTTTCCCAGTCTGCTGCATATGTGAGTGAGGAGGAGCCTGTGTACTAATACCACTGTACAAAGAGGTAGGTTGGGGGTCCCAAGGGCTGCGTTCAGTCTGTGGATCAGTCCCATCCCTTAATCCACCTTGACTACTACAGCACATGTGATGCTCAGAAGGTGATAAGCAATGGAGGCCATCCATGATACCTCAAGTGAAGATCAGAAGTAGAAAGAATGAAGACAGAGCTGTTACAGGACTTAGCTGAGGTTTGGAAGGAAGGCTGTGGCTCTTCCAGTGTCATTTCAAGTCTTCTTTCCCATCCAAGTTTTGCTATCATTAAATTCTTGGGTTCATTTTAGGTTGACTGGGGCACAGGGTGTCTTGCCATCCAGAAAGTGCTTTCCGGGATTGGTTTGGGGGGGGAGGGGGTGGCTGGGTTTTTTTTAAGTTACTCCCTCTAATACCATAACTTGCAAGACCCTTGCTGGGGACTGCAGCTTTCCTTCTAAGCAGAGCCCTCAGTGCCTGGCAATCACTACTGAAAAGCAGAGATGTTAAATGATACAAAAAGGGCGGGGGG